CTTTCGTTCATGATCTACTTGTCAATTTGACAAAGACAAGTGTACATAAGTTTGTAGCTTCCATTTACTGCGCAAAGAAGCGAAATATCCTCTCTAGCCTTTTTTTCAATCGCATATGCTGTTGTGGATATTTCACTCGGAAAACCGTTTTAAAAATTATGGGATCAAAGTTTTAAGACTGTACGTTAATAAAATCGAAAATAGCAAGATCTGGGATTATAAATGATGTCCATACCTTCTTTTAAAAAACCGGCGCATCAATGGATTCAACAAAATAACTCACTTGGAAGAAGTTGGCAGGAATTAGCCACCCACATATACTTTTCATCATTCTATTCACTCACCTCGTCCAAATCCGAAACGATCAGATTCGTGTGAGACGGACGGCACAAGTAATGCTGCTTCAATTTGACTGACCCCTAAAGAGATTCGTCCGGAATTTTATCTGGGCATCACTGACTAATCAAGACAACTGGCGTGATGGTGTGCAGAAATGTGAAACGATAGACAATTATCAACAAATAAACACATTAGACCAGCAAACACAAACACAACGTGAAATAAACTCAAATTGCAGCGAAAGATTCCACGAGTGCCACCGCAAAAGCTGTTAGAAGACTAAAGACCCGGATTAAGAATAGCCCCCGGGGGAGGCACTTGGGTTATTGTGTGGTGGGTATGTGCCGCTGGCCTCTCCGAGCCCCTACCCCATTATAGTCTATTCTGTGGCCAATTAAATAGACCTCATCTTAGTCACTTCCCCCCCGAGTCACTTTTGGGCAAATATGTAATTTTCGCGATCCAACTTGGTCACTTTCGATTTATGTATGTTCCTTATATTGAATGAACAACACTTTACTTTTCACCTAGAGCAATCTAGTCGTGAAAATGCCACCCCATCCAGTGGCACAACCCCACTAGCCTCTTATAAGGAAGTACCCTCCACCCCCCCCTCCGAGAATGGCCATTGTAATTTCTTTATTTAGGGACGGACCATCAGAAAACTTATGGGGGGTGCGGGCGAAGTACAAAAAAAAAATTCGCGCAAGGGAAAATTCAATGAAAAAAAATTCTTGCACGCCAATAAACTCTAAGAAATATTCATGCAAGGGCCTGAAAAAAATTCATACAAGGAATTTGATAACGAAAAAAAATTCCTGCAGCTCGAAAATTCCCCTCCCCCCCCATAACTTTTCTAATGGTCCGTCCCTTACATCACTACATGATCGATGAAGCGACCACCCATTGCTTGCTAACCCTCCTCTTCTATTATTTTTACATTTACTGCCCAACACATTTCCAGCCTCCCCCTCGAGCTGGAGTTCTTCATTTCTTGACGGGAAGTAAATATTTTTCTCAGTGGCTGACATTGTGAGACATTCATTTATATTCGAAATATTATACCCCGATCAAGGAACAATTCACACATGTGTACCTCGTTCTAGAACAGTCCCAAGATACAAAAGAGTATAGTTATTCTCGGGGAGTACCCACCGGGCGTACATTTATCCGTCTCCTTCTCATCTTGCAGGCCGAACATACAAGGTTCAAAAGAGGAACTCTAAGAAAGAAGCTTAGCTTCCTCGTTCTTTTGCATAGAATACGGTAATATAATTTACGGCACGTTTATCAGATCATTGGTATGAAAACGCTGGTGTTTATAGTATGTCATTGAGATTTTAGACCAGATCCGGGGTTCCAAATCGGCCAAGGGATTTAGGGTCTCAGGGGCATTTCACCACCCAAAACTCCAGGGTTTCTCCCAAGGGATATGAGCGTTCTGATGATCACTATAGGAATAAAGGTGCCCTGGAGTGGTTGTAACCTGCGATCAAGTGTCCTTCTTCCCTTTTTGTTTGGGAGACGAGAAGTTGAATGTTGTTCAGTGTTTTATGGAAGAGAAAACTAAGAATGAAGTGTTGCTATCTGACCGGGTCACGTTCGAGTTTAGGCAAAACACTTCAGTGCTTTCACAGCGCACGAATTTCGCAATCTGACCTTTGGATCTATCAGTCTCTTATCAGACGAAGATTAAAAATTAGGTGAGTGGGTTAAGAGACAACAAAAGTTTTATTCTTGTAAAGCCAAACCAGATTGCTCGTTTTAAATCTTTATTAGTCCAGGAGCAGTCTCTTTGTTTTAGCATTTGAGACAGAAGATCGAGAGCACGCGCGTGTAAAAAAACGGCTGGAGCGGCCCTGGTAGACCCAAGACAGTCTTGGATTCTGGAGTCCACATTGTGGAATCCGGATTCTTTCTGGATTCCTTGTCCGGAACAAGGATTCCGGATTCCAATCGTTTGCGGAATTCCGGATCCCAAGAGCTGGAATACGGATTCCAAAGCCCAGCATTCCGGATTCCATAAACACAATTTTTTCGAGATTCCGGATTCCACTAGGAAAAATTTCCCAGATTCCCGATAACCTTACATGGAGCGACCCAAGGAACGAGGACGCAAGCCCAGTATTTGCACAATTTTACGATTTTGCTTGCCGCGCGTGACACTGATGAAAGAAGGACTACTTCTCACCGTGTAAATCTTGAGGAGATGATGGATGTTTGGAGAGTGGAACGTATTACTTGTGTTAGTTGTTTTGCATAAGAGGAGTTCCAGCCGCAAGGCCATTGTTTTTCATATAAATGCTAGTTTAGAGCTATCAGTATATTTCTGAAACGCCTGTTTTTTAATCGAAAACTGTTCTTTCTTCCTGACCCTCACGCGCCCTTCGCGGTTGAGAGGGTCCCCAAAAGGTGTTTCGGGATCCTGGATTTCCCTTATTTGAAGCTCGGGATTCGGGATTTAAAGCAAAATCGGGGCAAGATTGGGGATTGACAGTATGCCCGCGAGGTGGGATGTCAAAAATAACCATCGGGATTACGGAATTGCACGAAATTTTGGGTCGGGATCACGGGATTGAAGAATACTATTGGGGATCCTCGGTTGAGAGAGGTTACCTTCTGACGTCACGGCGCAGGATAGAGTTTTCAACGTTGCAGTTATTAGTTAGGAGCAACGGTAAGACGGCCTATCATAGGTTTAGCGCCGAATTAGGTAAGGAATCGACGAGAACTGTGTCGCTGATAATTTCTTGAACATAATTGATAGTTCACCTTCAACTACTGCCTATGTCGTGTCTACAACGTGTACCGTCTACGAAATCTGAGCATTACAAAGACAAAATTACATGGAAGATTACTGACACAAAGCACAGCAACAGATTATCTTTTTTAATTATCTTTTCTCTAGTAAATTATATCATAGTATATTATGTATTTTCAACGGTCCAGTTTTGTCCCTTTACTAATACTTTGGAGGTTTAACTGTAGCTAGTGTTCCTTTCTGCGGTAAAAATTACATGTCTTAGGGAGAGAGTACTACTAACCAATAAGCCTCATGACTCTGAAATCAAGGGTATTCTGGTCCAAGATAGGCAATTAAGACGGATAAACGACTATGTTGAGCATGATCTTTATTATCTTATTTATCATTACTATTATTATTATTATTATTATTTGGATTTTATTCACTTTCTGTTTTCGTTACAAACGTCTGCAGCCAGCACTTTTAGCAAGCTTTGTCAGCCACTCAAGGGACAGCTGAGGAGAACTGCGGACAAGAATGTGAGCCAAACGGTTCTCGTAAAAAAGTGAGTAGTTCCACCTTTATTGCACGATTTTCAATTAATGGCGGCTTCCAGTTCAAGTCCCGCCCCGACTGCTAGCTGGATTTGTTCTCGGTAGTCCTGAGTCCAAATCCTCGGCCATGCTTGTAAAATAGCCCACTGCTTAGCAATATTATGTTTCATTTGAATTATTGGTTCATTAGAGAGGTTTAGACGGTCACGTTCATGGCACATGAAACGTGAATTTGTCGTGACAAAGTTTTCCCTTAACTTGTACTTTACTGTTCATTATTTCTACCCCAAAATTAGTAGCTTCACGTTGGTTTTGTGTTTAACAGTTGTTTTGGACTTCTTTAAGCTCAGCACGTTTTCTACTTTGAGAATTTCTCAACTTGAATCTGACGTTTGTCGTTTGCCGTAGACGTCACTCTAAATCTCTCTATTATCCCTAAAAGCTCCATTAGGGGAAAGGATGATTAAGTATTCATTTCATTTCATTTATAATTGTAAAACAGCGATGCGTGAAGGCGGGATGAAGTAAATAGTTTTGATGGTGGAGTTGAACAACATAATTTTTCACTGTGATCACTGTGACGTTCTTTTGGCTCGTCACGAACAGTTAAAAAAGGAACAATCTTAGCGCAGCGGGAAGGAACTAGTGACGAAACCCTAAAAACGTCTTCGTAGGAGATTACTACGATTGTTGTTTTGGTGGATATCAAACAGAAAACGTGCAGTGGAGGAGGATCAGATAGCCTGTGTAGCAAGCTTTTCCGTGTGAATTCGGAGCAAAGGAAGACCGAGAAACGGGATTTTCCCCCGCTCTTTTACTCGCCCTATTTTTCGATCTTTGACTCTCGTTCCTTGTTCTTTGACCCGAAACCGCACGAAAACGCTTGATGCGCAGGCTAAGGACCCGAGGGAGGGACAAAAGCTTTCACAAACTAGTCATTATGATTAGCGTCAATAGGCCTAATTTGCGTCGAATCCCCAACTTGAGGCACCTAGTATCTAGAACAATAGAACAATGGTCAATTTATGCGGAGGTAAATAAAGCTTGCTTGATTGAGTAGCCATTTAGAGATTTCCTCGACAAATGATTTGGTTCTAGTCATGCATTATTTATGACAGTTAGAGACAAAATACAAAAGGCCGTGACATCATCGATTTTGCTGGATTCCTAACGAGATTGTTCCTCAAATAACTGCAGCCGAATCATCACCATTATGTTACCCTCGTACCGCTCTAATAACCACTTTCATCTTGGAACAGTGCTTTCGCGTCCTGCCATCTCTTCTATGTCTTCTCCTTTGTTCCGCTGTCAGTTGAGGTTCCACTATGACGTCATCGTCCAACGTCATCGTTTCTACTGTGACGTCATCGGCGCGGTAGATAGTAAGACCAGTATATTATATTGAATAGTCCAAAGAGAAGCGGAAATATCTTGCGCGCGTACTTGTCAATATAATGAGGGGGATATTGCTTTATGGGAAACCCTTCGATAAAGGGGTTCAAAGAAGATGACTGCTTTTTTCTTGCCGACGAAAGATTTTCATGGAGAAAAGCTCCTTTTCTAAGCGACAGACCTCCAGCAACACCATTTGGTCGTTCTTTATTGCAGTCTGTGTGATGATCCATCATTTCTGTGATAGAACTCGCTCCTTGACACGGTGTTGGAGGCTTGGGGGAAAAAGGTATTAGTTTTAGTTTTGTGATATTCGAACATTGGTTCTAAAGAAAATTGGCATAAGGAAATAAACTAGTAGCCGTAGTGAGTACAAGACAATAGAGCCTTTTCACAAGACGTCACGTCTTCCATAATAGTATCCCAAAACAATCAGAGAAACAGTGGCCATGTTGTTGTCCCAAAACAGTGCTGTGGGAGTTGAACACCTTCTCTTATGTAAACCCTTTGTTTTGTCGCAATAAATTTGCATAGCTGCTGGCCACCTTAGCTCTATAGAGCGTTTTCTTAAAACAATGAAACGGTGGCCATGTTGGTGTTTCAAACCAATCCTGTGGGAGTTGAACTCTTTTCTTATGTAAAAACTTTCTTTTCTTCCAATAAATTTGCATAGATGCTGGACACGTGAGTGAAAACGCTCTATAGAAGTCATTTGCCCTGTACAGGAAGAGATCACAGTGGCGGATCCAGGGCAGGGGTCCGGAGGGCCTGTCCCTCCCCCCCCCCCTCATCTGAAGGTTCCCCCCACCCAACTTATCTGAGAGGGTCTCAATGGGGTTAACCGATAGGCGTAAAACGGCCAAAAATTTAGCCGATAGCCGTAAAAATTGAAAAATTTTAACCGTTAGCCGTAAATAGGGTAAAAAAGAGTTAACCGTAAAAGAAAGTGTTTCCTAGATTTGCCACTTTTAAGGAAGATACTAAACTCACTTATGGTTCCGTTTTTTATTTCCCGGCTAGTGTGATTCTGTACGCACGTTAGGCGAAGCGCCTTAACCAAGACCTAGGTTCCATTTCCGGCGCTCTCTCGGGGAACTAATTTTTTCCATAGCGAAAGTGTGGCTTCTTCCTTGGGATTAATATTTGCAATTTTCCGGAGGTCGTGCCCTCGAAACACTAATGAAACAACACGCAGAGATGTCACTGTTTGTAAAACACGTTGCCGATAAACAACATTTCCCTGTTTTTCTCTGACGCTACGGTAGACATTGCCATGCCTAGTCCCCGTACAGCGTCTTCCCACGCAATCTCGGTCAAGGCATTTCGGTGGCGAACTCTCTCGGACCACGTGACCCGAAACGCATTAGCCGCACGGAATAATGCGGCCTACGGACAAGGCAACGGCAGACAGTCGTTCCGTACATTCCTTCACTATCATTAAAAACACTGGACACGGGAATTTATTGGCCATTTTCACACTAGAGCTAGAAATGGATCATCCGTCTGAGACTAGCCTGTGTACAGTCGCGTCCTCCCCACAGACACCCTTTCTCCGAAATTTTCTGAGTGGAGTGGGCGGCCGTACACAGGCTATCTGGAACGGATAATCCTGAGATGATCTGAAGACCTTTATTCAAAAAAATACAGGTTAATTAATATTTAATTTTTTGAAACAAAAGAAGTTAATTTTTAACTTTTTCGTTAACCGTAACTGAAAAAAATTAACCGATAGCCGTAAAAGAGCCAAAATTTTAGCCGATAACCGTAGAGGCCACCACCCCATTGAGACCCTCATCTGAAGGTCTGGATCCGCCACTGGATCATGAGTGCTTTGCGCGCTACCAAATAATTAAATTCAAGATTTTAAGGAGAACGTGAAACGGCGGTTTCAGTAAGTTTCTTTTTTTCTGTCCCCCAGAAATTCACCAAAAAATGTTTTGGAATTATTTTTAGAACTGTTAGAGGTCTTAAGACACTCAAATAAACGTAAGCTCTAGTACTTCTGCACCTAAAAGGATCAATTGCAGCGAGATTCGAACCTTTCCCAGTGGTTTTTGACTTCAAAAATGGCAGAGATGAATCGGAATAACTCCTCATAACTAGAGCTGTTATGGTTATCGCTTCTCGTCCAACCGGCTTCAACCCACTTTGAAAAGGGGTTTACATTTTCGTCGTCCAAGAATACAGTTCAGAGTTTAGATCAGTTCCTAAGTAGTCGAGCACCGTAACAAACTGTTTAATGGTTGCGATCTAAACTTACCGGCGCAAAGCTTTGACTCCTAGGTATGGCAGACGATTTATCCGGAAAGTTCAAAACACAGACGTATTCAACCATACAAGATACGATGAACACGAACGACGTAATCAAGTAGTGGTCCACCGCCTTAAGATAGGAAATTCGAGGTAGACTGGAGTTAGTTGACTCAAATAGAAACATAGTGCTCAGAATGCACGTGATCACCAGGGAAATTCGAGCCGGAACTGCATGACGGTCTATCCAAAAGCTGAGCCATGAGAGGAAGACAACAAACGCTGAAGGAATGTAGAGCTGGAAAATGAAGTATGTCGTTCGTCGCTTGAGGGTGAAGGTTGCTTTTAAACTGTCAAAGGAACCTGAAAATAAAAATCAGTCAAATAGACAATGAGTATCGCGAAAGGGAGCCGAATCCAAGCATTTTTTTAAAGGAGTGTTCTTGTGCGCAATGTTTAAATTTGTTTTGAAGTTAATCTTATTTTAAAAGCTCCTTATACCCCTATACGCAGATCATCCTTCTATGGTTATCAAGAAGGCTTAAAGCATTTACGGTTAGTTTCAAAGACAAATCTTGTGCATGATTGGCTCATTTAATTGGGAAAAGTTGTGTATGTATAGTTTTGTGCATGAGGCACAGGCAATAACATAGAATTGATGTATTGTGTGAAACCTGGACCTGAAGTGTGTGATCCTTGTTACGGGGTCTGGATCTACATTATACGTAAAACAATTCGTGCGTGTACCCGTACTTTCTCGTGCTTATACGTCCAATGGATTAAAAATTCCTAGGCACTTACCCGAAACATTTAAGTCGACCTTTACACAACCACATTGAATAATCTTTACCTTTGCTGTTGGTTGACGCCTTTTTTGATGTAACAACATCCAAAAGGTCATATTGAGCCAATTCAGTGGCAAAAACTTCAATTGCATTAGGACCTTTCGTTTTCCAGTTATACACGACATCATCTACTGTATAGGCATCTACAATGCAAACAAATTTAGGGAGCATGTCCTGTCAGAAAAGAGGAGGACGTTAGGAGCAAGGTAACGCTATGCTGTGTGATTGGCTAAATTTCCAAGTTTAAAACAGTAAACCGATCCTTACGGCAGGAAGAGAGAGAGAAAAAATAAAGAGAGAAAACAAAAATAAGGTGGTGAATTATATGATTCACCACTTTATTTTTATTTTTATTTGTGTTTTGTTTATTTATTTTTTCTATCATTCTTCCTGCCGTAAGGACCAGTTTACTGATTTAATTTTAAAATTTGGTACTCAAGATTTTACTAATCCAGGTCTACTAAAGATCCTGCTGACCCTCACTGGTTTGCCATTGTGGTTTTGCCTTCACAAGTATTTCTGATATAAATTTCCGTGCTTTTTTGACCAATCATACGTGTAGTGTTGCTCGTTTTCACAAGCTCAGCGCCGGTTGACAAGCTGACGACTTATACTGTTTTTTTGTTTTGTTTTGTTTCTTCATAGAATCTTGTTCCCCAGTCTTGGTATTATTTCAGTTAACTTTACAGGCTCAGGCCTTCATTGACTAAGATATTAAAAAGGCAAGACTGTAAAAATAAAGTGCAAAATTAACATCTGGCTACGTACAACTTTCTATTATGAGGTAACATTGTTGAGTGTCTAAAGGAAACATCCTCAGGTCCATATCACACTGTGCTGTTAGAGTGATTCTGAAATAAATATAAACAAATGAAATCAATAAATCAGTGGTTCGAGTAGGATAAAGAGAACAACGTAACAGAAATTTTCAGTTATAGGGGAGATTCTCTCTAACAATTTCTTTGAACGAAATTTTTTTAACGACCTTTGAGATCACAATTTCTTTTTTGCTCATTTGAACTAGTTTTTAAAAAACTTCATATTTTGCCGAATAGTCCTGACAGTGATTGCTTCTTAGAAGTTTAGTATACGTAAAAAAACAAAACAAAACCACAATTTTTGAGATGACCAAACACTACCTCCCCCCGGAACATTTCACCGTTTCATTTCAGATTAGCACTGGCTTTACCTCTTACCTTGCGCTATAATAAATTCTCCCATCACTGAATATTCTAAGCCGCATGTTTTCTCGACTAACGGAATGATAATTAGAAGACTTGACGTTTCTAAAGTAGGTATCAGGAGTCCATATCCCTTTACCAAGCTTGGTCGGATCGAGAGCAGCATTGAACACCTTTTCCTGTCCATGGGCGAGTCTTGGGTCCGTCCACCATTGTCTAAAGAATATATCTATCGTGTAGTCCTAAGATCATTGAATCCATAATTCACATTAGTCATTACGGAATTTCTCCCTAAGTAGTCGCATCGATAACTTGAAAAAGGGCAGCAGAAGATGTATACGTGAAATAGCCTGAGTTGCGGGCGTTCAAAAAGGAAGGGGAAGGAGATTTCGGGCGGGCGAGAAGCGCAAGGGGAGGAAATGGTCATCCCAAGGGCCATCCCGATTGCCCATATTCCAGCCTTACCCTTTCCCCTTTCAACGCCCGCAACACAGTCTACATCTAATAGACAAGGATACTTGCCATTTCTTCTTCTCGTATTTGGGATTTCGGGAGGGCGAAAGGCGCGAGAGGAGGAAAGGGTCATCCCGAGGGCCTTCCCGAGGGTCAATATTCCAGCCTTCCCCTTTCCCTGTTTAACGTCTGCAACGCAGTCTACATCTAATAGACAAGGATACTTGCCATTTCTTCTTCTCGTATTTTCCCAAAGGCCATAAGCTTGAATTCGATAAGAACTTCCACAGGTTTTCCTGGAAGAAAAAAAGATCGCTCGGTGGGAAGCGTAACTATAAAAGTCTTGATAATCTTACTTTGTTTCCACGATTTTTAAATTAATACGCTGAATTTTTTGCAGCAAAGGGGAAACGTTTTTCAATTCCAAAAGGAGGTGATGTAAGGAATCATCCAAACAAAACTGCGCGTGTGTGCTTTGTATTCATGTTAAAAATCCTTCATTTGATGGGCCCCAAAAAAGCGTTCTCCCCGGCTAAAATTCACCCTTCTAGATAATTTTACAAAAATTTAGACTTGTGTTGTAATTGCATGCTCAGAGTCCGCATTCTCCTGGATTAGTGGTCGGTAATAAATAGTAGGTACTTTATATATATGGTAATCATAATGTACCGTGATATAGTTCTTTCGATCTGTCGTCCTTACTTGTCGCTGTCGCTTTTACTCAGCCTAGTTACTCATGTCAGCCAAATAATTCAATTTATCAAAGATACCATAAGCAAGCAAAGCGACAACAGTTAGTAGGTAAAGAAAACAGAAAGAACTCTATTACGATACGTTATAATTACCATGTATGATGTACCTAAGAAACTCAATTACCAGGGAGGCTGGACAAAGCAACGAGGACCTTTGGATAAGAATGCTGCAGATTTTTATTGTGAGATTGCATGAACAAAATGATTTCATTACCTGTATCATTTGGACGAACGTTTTTGTCGTAATGTTTCAGTCTTTTGTTAATTAACTTTGAAACCTTGGCGTAGGAGTCATCAGGCAATGCTAAAATAATAAGTTTATTATATTTCAATACTAGCAGAAACCATGAATACGTTTAACTCTTATTGTTTACCAGCAAAGACAATTGACTGCACTTTATATTAAAGGAGCTTTACTTGCTTTATTTGCTATCTTTTTAAAAAGCTAAAAATTGTCTCTGCGTCAGTTTGATTTTAAAAACATTGGTCCAGTTTTGTATTAAATTTAGAAAATATTTCAGGCACTGAAACTTTTCCTGTCGTCATCTTTTACCACGGATGGGGAGGATGGACATGAAATGAAAATTGACAAATTAAGTTGAGGGCCGATGCCTAAAAAAGTAACCAAAAAGTATTATGGTTAATGCTCCCTGATGAAATTTGTTTGATATTTTCTTCATAACTCTAGAGGAGCATTTTGTGTATGGGTTAAGGCACTAGGTAATGACGTCAACACAGATTTGACCTAAAACAGCAATATCCTCGTCAATGAGTTGCGTTCATTTTGTCAGTGATAGCTCAATTTACAATCTGCAGAAAAATTACCTCAATTTAGATGGCTGAACCCCATCTATTGTTGAATCGTAATCAGTGTGCATGCTCAGATGCAACCATTTACAAAATTTGGAAACGTCGCTGAGATGGTTTTTTAATCAGTTAATATTTTACTCTTTCAACGATTAGAAACTCACCTTTTCTTGAGCTGCTTGTAGGAATAGTACGATTTAAATCCCTGCGTCGTCGTCTTTCAATGAGCCCAGAGGTAGTGCTGTGTGTAAAGAGAATGTTCTGTTGCTCGCAAATTGTTTTTTCTTTAAAAAATATATACGCATGCTTCATTTTGTTTTTTCGGATAGTAAAATTAAAATAATGGAGCCTAACAGTTCTTTAGCAGGAGCTCGCTATACCCGGAGTGCTGAGAAAAATTTCACGCTAATTAATTTTACGGCGTTTAAGACGCAGATGAGTTTATTTCAAGACACACTTTAGAGGCATATTGTCGCCAGATATAGGACCAGCCAAGGGTTGTAACAAAACAGGGAATGGGGAACGGGAAACTGGAAAATGAAAAATAGGAACATTAAACAGAGAGTGGGTAATGGGGTTACTAATGACAGTGGTTAGGGTTTAACTGAGGTTTTTTATTCCCAGTTTTTATTAACCCCCTCCTCATGCTCGTTCCCTCGCTCCTCTATATTTCCAGCAATGAAACATTACTTTTTCTAAATATTGCCAACGAGGAACAAATACGAGGGAAAGAAAAAAAGCAAGGTTAACTGTTTTAAGCTGTGTCGTCCGTCGTTCCCTTTAAAAAAAATGTCGAAACAATCCTTGTTTGCTCGGAAGCTCGGTTCTTTTTCAGTTTTTTCTGGTGGGTACTTGTTGGTAACTCACAATTTTGTGAGACATTGGTTTGAACCATGGCAATCAGCAGCAATAATGAGTAATTCTTGGTTCTGATCTGAAGGAGTAAAGTTTAAATAATATTACCACAGCTGGTAAGAAAGGAGTCTTGATGTCTATCAAACAATGTAAACTTTCAACAATGTTATCGACAAAATGAGAACTGGAAATAGTTTTGTCTTTGCGATTACTTCTTAGTTGGTATGCAAGTAAACTTTGTTTAAGTGTTATTGTGCTAAAATTTATATACAGTTATTACAAAGACTATATTTTCCGCCTTGACTTTACATGTATATCAAACTTGGAGATGTCGTTCATATGAGTGCTAGTCTTTGCATGGTGCTGTGTTTCTAGAAATTTCTTTAAGTTATCATTTCCTGCGTATTATAACCTTAATTTGCCTTATGTGTCTTAAAACAGCTGTTCCGGTAGTAAGTGATTGATTCGTCTTGTGGTTTACTGTTATATGTCGGCGGTATGTGTTTTAGTTATAAAGTCTACCAATTTGAAGTATTTTAATAGGCAGCAGTTGGATTTTTATGACCACTTAAAACATAAAATGAAAACAATCTTTGCTTTTCGCCTTTCTTCTTAAGGTACCGCCACATTGGTTAGCTATTTTATTGGTAGTTAATGAGCCATTCTGAAATGTTCTGCAGTCAGTTATCTCGTTAACACTGTTCAACAGACGCTCCTCAAGACAATGTCGTGATTCCTGAAAGATTTTCTTTACTCATGATCATCTTTAGCTTTAAATTCGAAACCACCGAAACTTGATCCAGAGCTCAATTCTAACTGGCTTGTCTTGGAAAAATTATTTTTCACCGTAATTTTACGCTGACTGTCTTGCAGCATAATTTCACACGTCTAAGGTACGAGTAAACGAAGCTAGACTCTCAACACCAAGTAACAGCCTGTGCATGAGAATCTTTTTCGAGACAAGGCCAGCGACGATTCTTTTCTTGCCTGCTCTGTTTCTTTTTTAACGATAATCTCGAGATAATTGCTAAGCTGACTCGCCATAAACGAGTTCTTCAAACATTAATCAAGAAAAGCTCGTTGTTTTGAAACCGCTTGGACATCTTCCGTCGGAAAGTAGGCCTGCTGTTCTTCTTATAAAACCAACGAAAATCACTGTGCATTGCAATGATCATGTTATGCTGCTTATACAATAGCAAACATATCAATAAAAAGTCTTCGGGAACTACTACTCAAATCTATGTACCAGGGATTCTTTATAGGAAATTTCTAAACCACCGTATATGTTTCCGTGCGTTATATTTGTTTTACACTAACCTTGTTAGCAGACTATCGAAGAATGCTGCAATTACGAACGTCATAAAGATGGTCTCCTTCCTCATCCTTAAATATAAATCCGTATTCCTTTCCGCTATTCAAATTTGAGTTGTACCGGCCTGTATAGAGACAAATATAGAGGCAATAAGGAAAATATTGCACAGTCTGAGAGATAATACAGTGCCTGAAACACAGTTACCGTAAAGAAGTTGTGTCTTCTAAATCTCAACACATCCACCTCTTAAGTTTATCAACGCTAATAATAACACTTAAACTTAATTCTCGGTCTGGACCATAGATTGGTTAGGAAAATTAAACATTTTCTTATAAATACTTCTTTGCAGGTGCACCGCGCTTGAAATCTATTAAATTAAATATTACTTGTGCGGTAGCACTCTCTATAATGGTCTATTGAAACACGTATTTGTCGCAAAATGTAGAGACAAACAATGCAATTAGCACCGAGAATAATAGCATCAAAAAGTTGAGAACGCATATGAAATAATTCGTATTATGTACCAGTCACGAAAACCAAATTTCCCCTTCTTTAAGTTGGAACCTGTCAACGAGGTTTTGCAGTCTTTAATAATTTACTACATACCGTGTGATGACAAGTTTATAGCAACAATTTTGATATGACATTCCAAAGGATACGAATGAAAACGAACGTTAGTTCCGCCAATAAAGTTACGTTATCAAGCCACGTAAACTATTTTTCATGCTAAGTAAATGTTACTTTTCCCTTATGAGATTTGTTGATAAAACCCCCAAAAGTGGTGCTTGTTATTTAATTAGTAGCACGTCCGTCCCGCAAGCAAAACCACTTTGCTCTGAAATTGTTATCTTGTTAGGGTAGTCAAGCCCTTGCGTTCGTTAATTTACAAGCCAAATAATGCTTTTAACTTCTATTTCTGTATGGCTTGATTAATTTTCGGCGGTTTGATGTTCAAATCACTCTTTGTTTTCTGTTGTTATTATTGTTGTTGTTGTTTTAATTTCATTTTAAGGACCATTTTCCAGGACATCAAGTATGAAGTCCATTTTGTACACTACTACTCATTCAATTAACGATGTCCAAGATTTTATCACATTTTTAAAAAGTGGTCGGTTTGACATCCAGGGCTTTTCTAAAACAGCCTGCCGTGCTTTATCGCGCTAATATACAAAGTCCTTACGGTGATTTTGTCCTCAGTCAGGATGAAAATTATAGAGAGAAGCATTAATGACGTCATAAGATTATTCCAGAATGCAGATAACCAAGCTTGCTTTTCACTCAAGACATTTTTCTTTTGAGCAGAAATGTTAGCAATTCTTAAGCGCTTTAAAACTGATGAAAGTAAGGAACCAAAATGGATACTATTGGTTGAAGCATGTCATTTAAAGAACGGAATAAAAAATAATTCAATCAATGCAAAAATAAAATTCTCCGAAGAAAAAGGTATTTATTTAACAGTTTAGTAGTGAGCCAGAGAAAACAAACTTTGTTTTTATGTTCAAAAGTCTCAAATTTCACACAATGAAATCTTACGCATGAAGATTTTACCTGACTGTGTTTTCTCAATTCCTGTAAAATTTGAAATGTATTTTCTCGGGCTCCTGTAGGAAATTGTAGTTGGTGTTAATACAGATAACTAATTGCACTTATAGCTCTTGAAAAGTGTAAAAAAGAATGCTATATGGCTTTAAATATTCTGCTACAAGGTTTCTGTCCAATGAATATTAAAATTTTTCGATTTCCTAATGGATTCCGTCTTATAATCTTTGATTCCAGAAAAGAAGAAAGAAAGAGCTACAGAAGAGGATGTAATATCAGATGATAATCGTTTATTCAAGTAACATTTTGAGTCCTTTATCACAAAAATTTGAATTTTAAAACAAAAAAGAAGGCTATGCCCAGGGCCCCCCTCTATTCAAAACTGAGATAAGGTTGGACAAATACTCGTCTTTTCAAAAACAGAAAAAAAAATACTTGAAATCTTTGGCAATGCCAATGTCATAAGATTAGAACGCGAGCAAGCTCTCCTATTTGGGCGAGTGAAGCGAGTCTCTCGAGAACGCGCGAGCGAGCGGCGAAGCCGCGAGGGGCAGAGGAAAGGAGAGCTTGCAACGATCTCTCATAAAATTTCATTTGTACTTCGCCCAGACGAAGGGAAATACCATTGGCTGAAAAATGACGTTCCGGAAATCAAAGTTGACTGATAACAGGTCAAGCTGGCACCCGCTTCGTCTGTGTGTCAAAGTTGGTTTCTCAGGGGGATCAGATTGGTACCGAGAACTTGTTTCAGCCCTCAAAGCAGACGGGCTCTTTTGATGTAATTCTCGCAAAGAGAATATTGCAAGCCGAGGATAAATTTGACCGAGTTTGTAGTTCTTGTGGAAGGAAACTGAAAACCCTTCATCAGTTGTATTCCTTTGTGTCAAGCGCCTTGTTTAGTTCTGAAAACCGGGAGAGTGAAAGTGAAGAGTGATTCAAGCGCTGTCTTCCAACATCGGTTTCTTCGCCCGATTGAATTCTACTGGGTAGAAAAATTCAGAAACGTGTACTTGACAGTGTAGCTGTGTAGCTTGACCGTAAAGAAGGAAAAGAGAAAGAGTTGGAAGCAACTGGAGTAAACCTCAAGAGAACCAAGTACAGGAAAACGCTATTCGCCAGTTCCACACGGACAAATTATATGAAGTTTTTGTTGGTGATTGCGATGGGGAGTAGTCTTCTACACTACAGTATGCACGACTTTTCAAAAGTAAACGAAACGAGAATCAAAGTAGTGAGTTCTTTTCCGAGCGGACACGTTGAAGTTCGATGTCCCCGTAGAAAAAAGAAACATATCAGTGATTAAACATTGCTTTGATGCTGTACCGAAAGTGATTTATAAATAAATAATTCTACGCGCCCTCTGCTGTCTAAACTTACTTGACAGGCGGTTGTCACTTTTCTAATCTGCGGCACGTTTGCGGTGACCATTTTCACGCCTTGCGGAGTCCCGGGGTTTCCGGGGTGGAAATGAAAATTTATGAAAGATCGTTTCAAGCTCTCCTTTCCTAGGCCCCTCGCTCGCGCGTTCTCGCGAGGTTCACTTCGCTTGCCCAGATAGGAGACTAGAGCTTGCTCGCAGGCTATCATAAGATAAGCAACAATTATGTATGAGAGAGAAATCAGGCGATAATCGGTAATTGAAAAAGAATTTATTTTGGTTTGTTTTTACAAGAAATCAGAATAAAATAGACGTGAAAAATCAGCCAAAAAAATTTATTTCCTCTTCACTTGACAAATAGATCTAGACGTTGATTAGAATTTCTAAACGTGAGGAAATTTGTTTAGTGGAATATTATTTCTTTTCCACACAAACACGATTATCTTAATTGGCAAGATGGCACATTTAACAAGCGGCAGAGTTTGCATTACTAATAAGTACCAAGCCCATTGAGTCAAAGAGTTTTTTTTCGGTGAAAAATAATTAAACATTTATATTACTAATCAATCCTGTTTAATTTACACTCACTTTTAATTGTCCAGATAAACTTGCAGTTACAGACTCGGTAATCCCAAATTAATTTTACTTTCGATGGATAATCTTTCCAGACTAGTATGTTTAGGATAAATTCCGTTCGTCTCCATTATATTTAGTCCAATCTTAGCTGCCCAAAGATCACTATCCTAGAAAATAAATGTGTGACGTTAATTTCAAAGCATTATTTTGCCTCTATAATTGAAACAGACTGAAACTTCTTTGTTTGAAAGAACGAAACAAATAACATCGTAAGGGTTTTATGACAGATTTACACACCGACATCACTACATAACTGTTCATTTTTCACTTAATATATAACTTGTGCAAATTTTCTTCAACGTAATAATTTCTTTGTGGACTTACCGTTGTGTTTTTTAATTTACAGTCCACCATTATTTTGATCAGAAATTATTTTGAAAAAAAATTATGTTTGTGCCGTGTTTTTAAACGAAAATTGAGCCCCTCAAGCGGTCAATGAATCATTTTTATGTCACAGTTTTACCCGGTTTGCCGTCAAAGCGTTCTTTTTAAATGCGTTTCTTTGAAATAAATTGAAAATTGAGGGTCTAGCCTCAAGCTAAATTGTTTCCGGCAATCAACAGCACTGTAGAGACAACAGGGTAAACGTTCCTCTCTGTACAGATACAGGGAATGATTGCAGTTATTGCAGTTAAATCCATCCATCGCTAGTGAATGTTTGCGTGAGAAAATACAACAATTGCGGTCCGGGCATAACACGAGCCGAGTGAGAGTTACAACGAAGTTACATCGTACTTACCTTGAACCAACGATCGTGACGTAAATTAAATACTAACAGAAAAGTCCAAAACGACATCATGTTGAGTTACATTAAAGCGTACGCTTACACAACAAAAGAAAGCCTGTGTCCCTGTTGGATTGGTAAGCCTAAAAAAATGATTTTCACTCCAAGGTCTCAGTCAGACAAAGGACTTGTGGGAGACTTTAAATAAACTTTAGGAGATGTAGAAATATTATATGGTTTTGAAATTTCAAAACAAATGACTCAGGTCTTGAAATTGGTGTGAACAAACGTTAGGCACAGGTCACGGTTCTGTGAGTTGAACAAAAGACTACAGTCTTCCTTCTTCCACACTTCACTCTATAAATATATTAAGATAATCTATCTAAGAAACAAGAATGTTGTCAAACTGTATTTTTAAACGTTGGAGAATGTTCATTATCCTGGGCTAAAAGCTTTTCTGTTTAACTTAACTTTTTATAATAAGTTCTTTGCCGTTGTAACCTTTTTTCCGATAAATCGCAACTAAAAACCGAACATAAAGTGCAAAAGAATGTCTTTATATCATGACTTAATCCTTTTGCCGGCAACATATGAAATTGAAACTTTAAGAGAACAGTGTTCAAGAATTAAGAACATACTGCACAGGATTTCATAAACTTTAGCAGCACTCGTTTTAACAATAGGAAAGAGTATCTTCTAAATTAGGGAACTTGAATCCGTCAGTATGATGATGGTACAAGAGATGACAAAGAGGGGTGGCGAATGGTAAAATCCGAGACTCGCCGAGGCGCCGAGATCCTAGTTAGAAATCCGACCCCGAGACTCTTTGGTAAAAGGTTTCGAGACTCAAAAAAAGTAAAAACAAACCATGCAAAAACAAGATTTCGAGACTTGTAAAAACGCTTCCCAGATTTCGAGATCCTGCCAAATTTCCGAGACCCACGTTTTTCGAGGTACCATTCGCCACCCCTACAAAATAAACGCTGTATTTAGTACCTTTTCATTCGTGATGTTTGATTCTTATGAAAACCTTTATGGCAGAAATGACCACGAAGCCCGCTTCTTGTTAACCGTGATAACTAGTTCGTACTTCTACTTCCTTTTCCGCCAAAACATTTAGGTGGATAGACAATCACGCGATTATTCCGTGAGTTCTACCGTGAGCCTAAATGGCGGATTTATAAATTTTGCAAGACTAAAATACTGCCTACCTGTAGCGATGAACATTGTTAAAAGTGTGTCCATCAGATGAATTTTTAAAACACGTTTGCTTCCTTAGAGGTGGCGTGCACGTGGGCGTAGCTTTTTTTTATTATGTTTTTCTTAATCTTCTTTAGGGAAAATAACGATAATAAATTTAAGTGGTATCTAAAAAAACACATTATGGAAGACAATAATGATTTAACAATACTATATACTCGAAAACACACTGCAATACTTAAAACTTAGTTATTCTTTTATATTTCAAATAACACAACAGCGTGAATATATTATTTAATTGTCATAGCTTTTTTCCACTGTCCATCGTAGACGTGTTTTACCAGAACTATACTCTTGTTTAGCCTATAACATCATCACTTCGTTATTTGGAGACGCCATAAAATAACTTCAATCGATGGTCTATGCCTTAGTAAATGTCGCCCAAGAATTTGCTTATGTCTGTGATAAAAACAACAAAATCTGTGTATTGGTTATTTGTCTATTCCACACATGCACCGACTCTATGATCTAGAAGTTTCATTTGGATTGTTAATGGCACTCACCGCATTAGTTTTCTAAAATGAAAAAATGAACCCTCCAAGAAATTTTAAATTCGTGAAAATACCAAAATTCATTTTGTAAATCTACAAAGCCGGTATAATAATAAAAATAGGTAAAATTAATTTCAAAGAAAACTGCGAAAAACATATCTTCGAAACTTATCTTTATTGACCCTCAAAGTTAGCGAGTGACAGGATCTGGTCACGTAGTTCACAGCGAGGCCACAAAGTGAAGTCGGGTTCAGTTTCAAGGCTACAATTGTAGCTACTGTTGTTTCCTGAGTATGCTGTAAATTTACTAAACTTTTTGAAAGTCTACTAAGTGTACGTATCGTTGGCACATTTGGCCAACAAAATTTGACTTGACCAGTAATAGGGAGCTTAAGCAGCGACGTTTTTGAGCGACGCACGTCAACCGGAAGTGAGGTATTTTCCCTCTTAACATGCCTTGATGATATAAAATTTGTATTCCTTAGTTTCTTTACTGTTATAGAGGCGATTTGACAGTGGTAGACCTATTAAGAAACCTTGGGGAATGCTTCCCACTAGTTTTCGACCAAAACAGGGCTCGTCGTCAGAGAAAACATTTTCCAGATCCCCCCCCCCCCCACGACGTTGTTCACAAGGTCTCCCTCCCCACCCGCTTCCGACCTCAGGACAATGACACCCAACGGAAAATTTTGAGAAAAAGACCTAAAAACAACAAAAAAGCATGAATAAAGATGTCTGAAGCTATTTTAAACATTTTGAGACATTGCTGGGAAAATTTTATCTGTTCCTCACTCCGAGCAAGACTGATGAAGAGGCTCCCAGCCAGCAAGGTGCACCTTCAACCTTCAACCTGACTTACTGGGAAGTTTCCCAGCAGACGTTCAAAATTCAAATTCAGCTCTTCAGTGGGGGTGGGGAGGGGTTTGATGGGAATTGAGTGTGGCCTAAGGGCTACATTCATCTCTTCAGTGGGGGGTGGGGGGAAGGGCTAAGAGGTTTCTGACAGATAGCGCACAGCAGCTATTCTACACATCAAATCACCTCAGACACCCACAATTTTCCAATTTCCAAGGACATATTATTTTGTCCAAATCTCCCAAACAGCAAAAATTTGCCTGAAGAACAGATATTTTGAGGAACAGATCCATTGGGTGCCCCTGTCAGGGGAACTGAGCAGGGTTCTATCTAGGGTATTTGAGCGGTAAAAGCTTTCCCCATCAAAAAAATGCCCAGCTTCCCCCCAAAAATATTGTTATCCTTACAGTATATAAGTTAACTATATCGGAAAAATCATCGCGACGCGACGAGGTCAGTGCACACACTGTAACATTTCTCAGAATTGTGTCTCAAAATGCACCAGATTGCATCTCAGCGCATATTCATCTAAAAAAAATTTCCGGACCCACTAGGAAGCTCCTGTCCTTCGGCCACTCGGGACTTCTCTCCCAAATGATAAATCCTAGATAGAACCCTGCTGAGTGAGCGCTGGGTTAGGTTGGTAAAACAAGGAACATATTCCGTAGGATAATGAACAGAAGTATAACAGACCAAGTTTTGCATGGTTTCACTGAATGGTACAAACGTGACCTTTTTGCGTTCGAAGAACGCTTAGCCTACCTATTCTTCAAGGCGCGGTTACCAATTTCGTAGCGCGGCTACCGATCATGTAGAGGCACTTTCTGCCAGATTCTTCACATTCCTTTGGTTGGTCACATATTTGTGCCGTTTTCGTCGCAATATTGAATTTATAATGTCATACATGTGTCATCGCCAAGCTATGACGTACTGCGCTCGCTCGAATTCATTGCCAAAGGCAAAATCAACGATGATCTAGGCTGCTTCTCTTTTGATTTCGGTTACGGCTGGTAAGTTGTCGTGTACAATGTTTTTGAAGGATTCGTGGCAACTTTTTGTCAAAGCCTCAGAACGTTTTGCATCACTCAGGCTAAGACGCGTAGAAACGACATCTTCGGCGTTGAGTTCCCTGGACGAAACTTGTCTCTGTCTGCAGTTCACTGCATTTCGTCGCTGTACAAATGTTTGAGCTGTCGCTGTTGTCATATTTACAGCAGTAAGCCGACCTTTTATTGTCTCCAACCAAAAGAATCGAGTAATCGTTCTTCTACGCAATTGCGCGTAACCCATTGTAGTTCATCAAAACCTCACACTGTCCGTATCACATTATTTTATTAGGAAATAATGTCACATTTGACAGTAAACCGAAAAAGGTTCGAAAGCACTTCCTTATCTGAGATTACTACTAGTTTATTACATAGTGGCTGATTTTCAAAATCAGGAACTTGCTAACCCCCTTTTATATGAACTTTTTACACGAGTGACATCGTATATACAAATACTTATTCCCAGGTTTGCAAACCTAGATGCCTTCAGCTGGATGATCCAGTTTCGTCAAATACAAATGATTTTCTCTATTTTTCTCTAGTCCGCCAAATAACAGGTCATATTTCCTTGGCCAAAATTTACCTCGTGGTCGACACGGAGCCAATTGAAAAAACAATTGGCTAAAAATTACCCATCTGCAAAATCAACCTTCAACATAAATTTAGTGCCGCGCAGAATAATCAAGGCTAGCCATTTCTTCAACAACAATATTTTTACCAGGAACCCATCATAGGCTCCTGTTTTTACTGATTTCACTTGGTGAGAAAAGATAGCCTTCGCACTTTTTGACCGCAGTCAAGGGAGAGAACATTGCAAAAACAAAGTTAAGGCACCTAGTACTTGTTTTCATTTCACTAGTGGTATGTAAATGAAATACACAGACCAAATGAAAAAGAATAAAGTTCAGAGACGTTTGAGCTGGTGAAACCATTCTGAGGAAACGGCTGAAGTTTCAATGCGGCGGGTAGCATTCAAGCTCTCCCACCGTATTCTTCTTATATTTGGACCAGCTCCCGCTCTTTTTGTTGTGGTAAAAAACCTTTGTGCAGTTTTTGTCTACCGCAAGTACGTTAACATGCGGTACTGTTGGCGTGGGATCTAACCATGACGCGATAGATCGTATTCCCCCAGTTTCACAGCGTTTCTGGTTCATATAGTATCTAAAACCTGAAACAACAAAATAATAACAGCACTTGAATTGTTAGTTTATTTTACAGTTTTATTTTCAGCAATCAAGCTCTATTTCAGTTTTTCTCTGTAAATAAATTTCGGCAGACAAGGCGAAACGAAAAGTATAATCCGGCCATGTCATTTTAACGCAAACCTCGTAAGTCAGTCGCAGGCTTTTAAGTCTTGACAAAGACAAGATTTGTGTTTCAGTTTGCTTAACGACAGAAGAACTACATGCTCTGCTATTAGTTGTCATTCACCTTAACAGAAAAAACTTAAACTAGTTGAGAAGTACATTAACAGAATTAAAGAAGTGGGAAATTAGACAGCTTTGAATATTATACCAATGGATTAAAATTCGGAGAAAAGGGCTGAAACATTTCTACGCTCTTGTGACTGCTGAAACGTTTTCCACTGAGCAAAGCCTTTTTTACTCTTATCAGTTTTCAGAAATACCAGGATTGATTCCTACCCAAGTTGTGGGCGGATATCACTTTCCACCATTTATGCATCAGTGCCCTGTTCCAGGGGTTCAGATTTTGTGCACCGCGCAAAGAGATTTGGGAAGGAAAACTGCGAGGGGGAGTGGGTAGGGAGTCTCCTCCTCTCTCCTTCTCCCTCTCTTCCTCCTTATTTTTTCTCCGCTCACTGACTTGGCGCCGTACTCCACCATTGGGATCTTTACGTAAGGAAGGAATGTCCCAGGAGGAAGTAGATCACCTTTTTAACGCAATAGTTTTACCAAATTTTTCTTACGCTCTGCCGGTTTATGGTGCCTCAGATTCCGACCTTTCTGTAATACAGAATTTTTTAGACCGGTGTATGAAAAGAAAGTTTATGTCCAAGAATGTAAATATCAGGGATTGCTAGAGAAGGCGGACAAGACACTCTACAAAAAAAGATCGAATGACCCCGAATGCCCGTTCTTCCAGTTTTTACCTAAGGAAAAGAACATGAGGTACAATCTTAGAAATACGTCAGTCTCTGTCCCAAGAATCTACACTGACAGGTTTAAGAACGTTTTTAGTAACAAAATAATTTTTAGATCTGATATGTAAATAGTTTTTTGAGTTTATATTGTAACTTAGGATATGTGATTTTATCTTAAGAAATAAAGATTATTATTATTATTATTGTTCATCTTAATGCCCAGAACAGGCTAATGCATCGGCTGAATATATACCCTTGGCTGTGCGGACAGCGATTACGCAAGAACTCCCGGGATTCATGTCATACTGTGTGGAATTATATTCTTATTTTTTTCTGAAAGTAATTACCTTTAGAATCATATTCGGTTTGATTAGGCTGTATTTCGTCGAAGTCCAAATTTAACTTCTTTTTAAGTACTTTCCACCTGAACTCCAACCCCCTCACTGGTATCCCTTCCTTTAAAAATACAAAATAAGAAAACATTTCACTCAAAACAAAAAAGATGACATATGACAATACTATTATTCCATGCCAGGAGCCCATAATGGACGGGATTGTTTTCATGAGAACTAAAACACCGACTCGTAGAATCGATGCAGCCACTACATTCGGGAACCGAGCTGCGCATTTTAGGTTATGTAACGCGAGTGATCATATCGAGCAGCGCCGGACTTCACGATTTCCTCCTTTTAATCTCCGTTATTTGAACTTTATTCGTTTGTGGTTCGGAATAACTGCGGCGGAAGGAAGATTCTTTGTGGTAACCGACTAGGGGGTGATGCATTCTTTAATAACGAAAAGGAAATGTCGAATGATCTGAAGATTTTCAGAGAATTTCTAGAAAAAGGCGACGAGAAAAAAAAAAGTAGCCAGTTCATATTCCGGTAGCAAACACAACTAACTCCTGACCAAGAAAATAGCTTTGAAATCTGTGACTTTAATTAATGGCAAGGAAAAAGAGACAGAGTTGGATCTGGGTACTGCATACGACTGGCCATTTTTCTACACAGAATTCACCTCTTTAGAAACGTCAAGGAAACAAGGCTGAGATGACTGTCGCAAGGACTTCTGGGACTGTTTATAGGGACAGGCATGAAAAAAAGTGGCCAATAGCTGACCGGCGCGTCCCCAGTAACTATCCCAGAAATAATTGAGGGGCGCATTTCGGTTCCAGTTCCCTTTTAGTTTCTAAGTTAGCCAATGATGTCTTACTTCTGAGCCATCATCAGGATAATACTTGAAAGTAAAGTAATGGTTGCTTCCGATGCTTCCTTCTCTGCACTTCTTTTTAACGTAGGGAGAATTTGGTGGTAGCATCAATCCACAAACAAGCGACACTGCTACAAGAAATAGGAGAATACCCAACAATTTCTTCCATAAACCTGAAAAAAATGAAAAATACGAGCAATACATGATATCAAACTCATCAAAAGAACAAAGAGGTTGCTAAACTGCAAAAAGAAAAACAGAGAAAAAGCATTTAGAACTATTTGAAAAACGGACTGATTATTAGTGGCCTGAGCTACTTAAAGACGCTTCTGCATGATTTCTAGATGATTTTCTTATTACGTGGATTTCAGTATCTACTTCATTCCAATAAGGTAAAATTGCCAGTAATCCAAGCTGTTCGCTTTAGATAACAAAATATTATTGAGTCTAAAAAGATGAATAGCTTTACGCCAGGTATATGCAAGGAGTATATAAAATAATTGCTGCAGCTCGTCGCCGTAGTCGTGCACTAGACGTCAAAGAAATGTATTACTAGGAAAAACGCTTTTTTTGTACATTTCTTTCCTGTTTTTAGTTTGCACAACTTCGACGTGAAAATGTCTAATTTTGCGTTTTAAGGAGGACGTAAACAAGCAACAACGAAATTTTATTTCTCTTCCTGAGCTTGAATATGATAACTTGAAATTCAGCTTCAGGAGGGTTCGCCTACATTTAACAAAGTAAGTGGGTAGGAATAATCGCTGTAAAGACTAAAAGAACGCAAATTCACTTTTTAGGCGACATTCTCGTTGCCGTCGCGTCGTTGGATCTTAAAGTCCCTAAGTTACAGTAATGACTGGCGTTTTCGCCGTTACATACCCGTCCAGCCTCGCTGCATACTTGCGATCCTGTGACCGACATTATCGATATGCATCTCCATACTTTCCCTTACTTGGTCGATACACAGTTTTAGATGATCCAACTCTCGTAACCTGTCCTTAGCACTGACACTCAGTACCAGGGATACCAGGCAGTCGACCTTGGATACTCCAGTGCTGGACGACTCACCCAGTGAATAACCAAGCAGAGTCTGTCGGTAGTTTCCTAGCAACACCACCACATAAATCAGCAATACCTTTTCGTTAGTTATTCTCAGTATTCTAAGAATTTTGCTCTGAAAATTGTTCAGAAGGCTTAGCTGGCAGATCCACCCGAGTCAAGCAGTCTAGGCCATAGCCATTTCTGGATATTCAATGACGTCATGGCTTTTGGTACCGACGTCTAGGAATCTCAACTACTCTTATTTGAGGCTTAGCAGATTTAGTCCACAGTTATATTCAATGAAACCGTGCAAAATGAAAGGCAAAGAGTGACTAAATACAATAAGCGAATAGGTAATAGCTTCGGTTGTCATTGGAGAGAGAAATTCTGTTGAAAAGTTGAGAAAAGGGTTTTCTGCGAAGGCGCCGAGTAAGTAGTCGCCTCTACTACGTTAACATTTTCAGGTATGTAGCATATTTTTGGTTCCTAAAAAATGATTTTCAAAAACTAAAAAACATTTGCTACCCATTTGTCACAATTCCTGTCGAGTGCTCAAGATTTGAGATCAAGTGCTTGGACGTTGAAATTTTGGTTAAGGAACAAATTAGGCGTCCCCTCGCTTGTCTTCCTCTCGCGCGCTCGTTCTCTCTGGCGCCCACTACTTCCAAGCGCCTGCTACACAGGCTACTGACTCCCTTTGTTCAGAGCTGTCGGAGAGTTGTGTAATCCTTACTTTGGAACTGTTTGTGTTGCAAGGCGTTGCAAATTTTTGTTGTTTATTGAATTTAAAATCCAGATAACATAGCCTGGTACTCGGTATCCTGCGAGCAAGCTCTCTAGGGCGCTCTAGCGGCGGGGCGGGAAAAGGAAGGAGAGCTTGCAACTACGTCTCCATAATTTGAATATCTGCATCGAAAAAATCGATGCGAAATACTGATTGGCGAAGATGACATTAGCAATGACGTCATTACCCTTGGCACGTATTTTTCAATGTTTGTTTACATTCGCGCTCGTTTTCGCTTAGCGCTGATTGGTGGAAATCTGACAGTTCAGTCGAGGGAGAGCCACGGGGGAACTGGAGGTGGAATTCAAAATTCCAAGAGACGTAGTAGCAAGCTCTCCTTCATCCCCCCACCCCCCCGCCGCCAGAGCGCCCAGGAGAGTTTGCTCGCAGGCTAGGTAATCTGTAGTTTGAGAACCCATTTTCGTCGTTTTCGTTGCCGTCGCCGTCGTCTTTGCTTTAGCTCCCTAATTGGAATTCTCTGGTGGGTTGTGGTAGATAAGTCAAAGTGAGCACTAACAGTAACGGGGTGCAACATCCAAAAGACAGGAAGTGTGCCCTCTTTTGATACTGTACAAGAAATATCAACGAGAACCGTGACGATCCCACCAATTTAATCATCTTCTATCTTACTCGACTTTTCTCGGAGTTGCGCATTTGTGACATTGACAACAATAGTAAGACGAAACAATAGACCATAAATAAGGTAGTTACCGCGATGTCGCTCAGTAGTTGCCGTGCCTGGGAATTTGTCAGTGGGACAGGTGTAAATACATTCGCCAGTTCTGACTTTGCCAACGACTTTGACCTCGATCTCACCAATAATACACACAAGATCAGCATCTAAGAGGCAAAACAAGATACCTCAGATGGATATAAAAATACGCACTTTATTTGAGTGTCAATGTATTTAGCACGAAAGCACTAATTGTGGACACTATAGTTTACGTCTCATACTGGAGACGGGACTGCCATTTTACGTGTTCATCCGAGCCACGTGAATGTCAAGCCGTTTGCAGGGCAAAGGCAGTGTCTTAATTTCTAAGTTTTTGTAAGACCATGAGTATTGATCCGGCCTCAGGAACCGATCCTGAGACCTCCCGCTTTGCTCTAACGACTAGGCTAATCCCGTCGTGGGTATTTTCCCTCCAGTTGGTAGAATTGGCCAGTAAATAATCAACGCTACCCAGGGTTAAAATCTTGACAAAGCATTTTGCATGTTACACTTTCTAATGACTCCTCCTCCACGTCTATCTGAAGAGCGAGGTTTGCACTCCCAGTTCTAGCATAACTAAATCATTAAACAAAGAATCGCAATATCCATACCATTTCTTTCAATGTCATCCCGTTCCGTGTGTCCTACCAAATAAGCAGATCGACTGATGACACCAGCCAATCTCGCGTCACTTGCGTTTTCACTTGTCAAAAGATCGATGACAGTTTCTCCCGTGGCGCTGACAAAGAACCCTACAACATCTCCTTCCTCAAACTGGCTTTCGTCATGTTTTCTCTTGATGTAGTAAGCAATGTCGTGGTTTTTCGTCCGTATCTGCTCACATTCGACAGTTTTGATCTTTGCAAACTCAGCTTCAAGCTGTTGGCACATTAGTCTGGAGTAGAGAGTATCTAGAGAGAATTAACGAACGACAGATGAATTACTAAGTGTGAAAAGGAACTGTGGCGCTGTATCCTTGAGAAAGAAATACCAAGCTTTTTAAAACCGTTCGACGGAAATCGGTCAGATTTGTCATGATAAATATATTTTTAATAACAACAAAAAACTTTCCAAGTTGAAATCGAGAGATGAAATAATCCGCCGATTTGCAAGGCTTCATCCATGGACAAGGGAACTGGCCAATGGCTAATGACTGGCTGAATGATTTAGAAATCCAAAATATTTCAAGGCGGAGCTTGCCCCGGACCCCCCTAGAAGCTTGCGACTTCGACCCTCGTCTAGGAAATCGGTCAGTATTTTTCCTAGATCCGCGCCTGTTTTTGTTTGTTGGTTTGCCTGTCTGTTTTCTCCCATCTGAGATGTATGAAGGTGAATCGGCAACCACCGTTTGGAGAAGCAAAAGACAAAATTTTGGGCGCTTATTCAAGGTAAATCTTGAGGTCTGTTTTTCAGTGAAGCTTAAGTAACTCTAACCTGTGCTAGAAAAAAAACTGCATAATTAATTAAAAGCTGTTATAAAAAATCAACGCCGGGCGTAGGGAAGGTGGCTTATCGTTCTGCGTAGTAGTCGTGAATTTCTCAGAGAGACATCCTCCATTGAATTTTGAGAAAAAAAATTGGGCTTCATCTCAGTTTCACTGTATTTAGCAGGATATACTATTTTGACGAATGATCGCTGTTTTTACAATTCCCTTGCCAGAGACTGGACTACCATTTCTAAGTTCTGCCACAAGTGAGTGTCTAGCCTCGAAAGCAGTACCTTTGGTTCAGTCCCGTTCATAATCTTATTAGTGACCTCCCTTTCTTGAAGACCATCGCCCTTCTAAATGACAGTTACGGTTAAACGTAAAAATCGAGAACTCGTGCAAAAGATAAATCTGGAAAGTAAAGGCGACGAACTTTTACTCGGGTCGTTCGCCTCGCCTCTTATACCTACAACCACTACGCTAACTAGGAAAATCTCGTGGACACTGACTCAAGGTCGGTGCTATACCTTTTTTGTGTAGAACCGAGTCCTCCCTTCTACTTAAAAGAGCCACTCGTCTTGCTCTTGCGGGATTTGTATTCTCTTATAGCTAACTGCAATTGTCCAGGACTCCTATACCTTCCCTCTTAAAAGACACCTTTACTTAGATTTCTTGATATTTTTTTCTCAACAAATCAATATTTTCACTGATGTGATTTAATACCTGATGGAGCTTGCTGTGACGGTCCTGCTGATAAAGGGCGAGATGCAGAGGTACTTGGGTTGGGTGTGGTCGCTGCTTTCAAAAAGAAGGAGGCAAAGCATTCAAACGTTAGTAAACAACACCCGTGGTAGTATAGTTTCCTTAGCCTAAGGTGCATGAATTGGGGTACTCGTGAATTCAGAATCATAACATGATATAATTAACGTATTGATTTCGTCATTCTAACACTTTTTACTCACTTCTCCCCGTCTTGCTACTCTTGAGAACAAATTCATATGGGTACAGAACCACGAAAGATCCACCGGCAAACTGAAGGTAAACCTTGAGTTGGAATCGATTATACTCCGTGCCTTTGGATTTCTCTAGCTTGTAGACTTCTTTGTTGTCTGGCGTCTTGTACACGCAGTCCAGATCGAACTTGCAAATGTACGTGAAGAGTTCCAGTGTTAAATCGCTCCCTAAAAGATAATTTTAAGTTACTGATAACTTTAACATGCATACACATAGTTTACATACACTGTTTACAGGTAGCCATTACGACACATCCAAAGGAGAATCATGAGGTTTTAGTCCCTATATTAAGATCTTCAACGTTCAAATATGGTATTCTCAAACAGTTTCTGAAGATCAGTCCAACAGCTCGCCATTTTAATGAGCCAGAAACTGATATAAATAGTTGGACATGAATTATCCCGATCGTTTGTAAGGTAAAAGTAAAGGTAAAGGCGCACCCGAGCTAAAGGCCCAAACGGCCGGAGCTTATTCCGGTTTCATTAGCATGAAGACCTTAGAGTATTGCTACTCCCCCCTGGACAGGATGCTAGTCCATCGCAGGGTTACCCCCCAGCAGTATGTCGCCGGTACCCATTTATAAACCTAGGTGAAGAGAGACAAAGTGGAGTAAAGTTCCTTGTCTACGGAAACAACGGGATGGGCAAGGCTTAAACCCCGCACCTCCGAATCCGGCCACACACGCCACTATCGTTTGTAAGAGATGACATGATTTAGCGGAAATGGAGCTCTTTTTTGTTCAAACAGACAACCTGTTCAAGACGCTTAATGACCTTTAAAGTGCAATTTTATACCCTTTTAGAAGCCCGTGGCTCCTGACCCTGTTTAGACTCAAGTCACCCTGAAAGCCATACCCTGTTCAACGACACATACCCTCTTAGGCCAAATAAGGGAGTACCTCCCTTGGGATAAATCTCAACAGAAAAATGTAACCGAAAACTGATAGAAAACCAGCGGTGAATAAACTCACTGGATACTTGCGTAGTCTGTAGCTTGGAAAGTCTTGTTGGTCCCACTCCGTATGCGCTGGGATCTTTCTGTGTAAGCTTTTTCTCTGCCTCGAGCTCACGCTGCACGTACACCTCCAGGTGTATTAACTGCAGACAGGTTTTTATTCTCATTTCAACCTTTAAAAATACAAGAAAACAGCAACAACATCAACTAAACTCGTTCCTCTCTAGTTTGGAGCCTAATCGAATATCGATGACGTCGCCTATCAAGCTGATTAGGAAAGATCACGGTCTTTTCTCTCTTGACTCATAATACTGATGCTGCGCTGTGACGTTCGCGTGATCCAATCTTAATTCTTTTCAAGGGCTTGCCAGGTTTTGATTGACTTATGTATCAAAAGCCCCATTTTGTGGCTTTGCTTACTTACTAAGGAATAGTCAGCCCTTACCATTCCATTTTGTATCCTCTGTTCTGAATATTTTCCCCTGGGTCCGTGCTTTTTCTGTATCTTGTCGTATTCATCCTTTGGATTAAGGATCTCTATACTCGCTTGACCTTGACTGCACCGGGCAGAGATGACCTTAGGACGCTGCGACGCAAACCTTGAGGCTGTGCTCTGCGCAGGAACATTGGCACTGGGGCTTAGGGAATTCACTCTGTCCCACAGAGGGGTCTGGGACGGCGATGCCATAAACCTAGTCGGAGGGTCTGGACTTTGAACGAAGAGAGAAGTACAATCGAAGTTGTTCTCCTGGTGGCTGCTCGTATTTGCATCAGTTTGGGCTCCACTTGGAGATGGTGTAGTTGCACTTGTAACGCTGTCTGGAGGAGTATAACAGACAGGAGGCTGCAACATCGGCTGTTGTTCACTACTTGGTGGACCAGCAGTGTGTTCATCAAAGGTTCCACCGACTGTTAGACCGTGCAGATAGCCCACAGTCGGCAAGGAAGACATGACAGGATCCGTAGGAGGGATGGAAGAACCTGCAATAGAAGACATTCACCAGTTGAGAGGAATTCACTCAGTCAAATTTCATTGAATTCACCTCCTGAGCGACTTAAACTTTCACATTTTGTCCATTCGGTAACGACTGACCTATCTGGTAAATAAATAAATAACTAATTTTGTTGGTGCGGATAGGCTCGAAGAAGACTATAATCACGATCTCTTGCTATTGCTTACAAGAAATCCTATAGTGCGTAATCTTTCTGTAATCAGAAGAGCACATTTACAACCGAATCATTATACATACATAAGTAGGCCTCATTCGCTTAAAACTAATCATTTTTAAGTTAAAAGTGAATTCCCTAATGGATAGCTTTTAGCTGCAACAAAATTATCTGTGAGTTTTATACAGCCTTATGCTTAACGCCGTTTATCACGGGGCCGATGAAGTCAGATTAGACTTAAGTCCTTAATATACCAAGTAACCAAGACGATAGTTATCGTTTAAAAAGAAACAAAAAACAAAAACAAAGAACGTGTAAGTTACCTATTGCGGCACTCTCCATCATTTCTCTTACAATCCCCTCAGGATCTGCCCAATGAGGGTACTGTGGGGTATCCTGCTGATGGGTCCACATTTCAGTTCGCCTGGTGGGTCAAGTAGGAACGGAGGAAGTTAGGAAGGAAGAAGGGAGGGAGTGATGAAGAAATGAATCAATAAGTTAACAAGCTAAGTGATGACGTGTCTAAAAGGTAATCGGCAGAACCAAGCAGCAGTGTGAATATAAACTGTATACCACCTTTGGTTCAATTTGGCCGGAAATAATTAGCCTGTGTATAGATCCCCCTTCCCTTCCCTCCCCCCTGGAAAAATCGGAGAGGGGGATTTTTCTAATTTTTCCTGAGGGGAGGGGAGGTCTCTACATGGGCCACAAATGATGAGCTCTCCATCCCTTGGCACTCTCAAAAAAGTTCCTTCTCTGCAGACTAGCTAGGTTATTATTAAGGTGGCTCCGTAATTAGTACAAGAGCATTTAGCTGTGACAAATTTTCCGTTATAACTTTTTCGATTTAAACGCGATGGCTGCGAAACTTTGCAAAGAACAACAGATATCATTCGGCAATAATACGAAATATTCCGATTTCATTGATGGTAAATATTTCTTGAGAAATTAGCGCTTAACGGGACCCTAATGTTCGAAGAAAATCGCGTCTAGTAAAAAATTTTGCTGATATTTTTTACTGAAATTTCTGGTATCGGCTTTAATTGACATAATAAATATGCCAGAGGAATTTCAGAAAAATCGTTGGAGCAGAAGTCCGTAACTAAAAGTCGCACAAAATTCAGCTGTGAAATTGTTTTGGAATTTCAAAAATAAATTACTATCAGGAACAAGGAGACACAGGTTTGAATTTTCGGGACAAGTAAATTCAGTGTTTGCTAATTCTGAAAACAGAAGCCGATTGCCTATCGTGCTATTCTTTAAAAGATAGTTTTCAGTTTTAGAAGCACTATAAATTGCTCCAAACTTTGCTCTGACGCCGAATGACTTGTTCCTCGACATTTTTAAAATATCCCTTGGTAGTTTTGGCTCAAACTCCTGCTACATACATTTTGATGTATTGCAATGCATCCTCAACGGCTTTTCCTGCTGTACGTTGTTTCCAATTCAGGAAAAAGGTATTGGGATTGTAAGCTACCTTGTATCGAAGCTCAGATAGAACTGTCGAGCACCTTTGTTTATGACCAGAAAATGAGCACGAGCGGCAGCTCTGCGAGGAATTCGCACGTCAGCCAGGGGGTACGAATGATAATGATGCCCATGTCTGTGAACCGATCTGTATAAACATGTATTGCAGAGCAAAACATAATAATCAAGAAAAAATACCCATTCATTGGAGGAAGGAGTGACAAAAATTTCAGAGTTGTAAATTTATTCACGGGCAGTATTTTTGCGATAATTTTATTTTGCACTGTGATGTTATTCGGTTCACAGGCATGGTCATCATTGTCGTTCGTCCCCCCTGGATGAGGTGCGAATTCCTCGCAGAACTGCCGCTCGTGCTCATTTTGTAGTCATAAACAAAGGTGCTGGACAGTTCTATCTGAGCTAGGTAGCGTCCAATCTCAATACTTTTTTCCTGAGTTGGCAGCAACGAACAGCAGTAAAAGTCGTTGAAAATGCATTGCAATACATCAAATGTATGCAGCAGGAGTTTGAGCCAAAACTGCCAAGGGATATTTTAAAACGGTCGAAGAACAAGTAATTCTACTTCAGAGCAAGGTTTGGAGCAATTTATAGTGCTTCTAAAACTAAAAAGTACCTTTTAAAGAATAGCACGATAGGCAATCGGCTTTTGTTTTAAGAATTAGCAAACGTTGAATTTACTTGTCCCGAAAATTCAAACTGGTGGCTCCTTCTACCTGATAGTAATTTATTTCTGAAATTCCAAAACAATTTCACAGCTGAATTTTGAGCGACTATTAGTTACGGACTTCTGCTCCAACGATTTTTCTGAAATTCCTCTGGCATATTTGTTATATCAATTAAAGCCGATACCAGAAATTTCAGTAAAAAATGTCAGCAAAATTTTTTACTAGACGCGATTTTCTTTGAACATTAGGGCCCTTTTACGCGCTAATTTCTCAAGAAATATTTACCATCAATGAAATCGGAATATTTCGTATTATTGCCGAATGATATCTGTTGTTCTTTGCAAAGTTTCGCAGCCATCGTGTTTAAATCGAAAAAGTTATGACGGAAAATTTGTCACAGGTAAATGCTCTTGTATTAATTACGGAGCCACCTTAACTCAGTCAGACGGTTATTCTTTCCGGCCATGACAGAGAGTTCAGTATAGTATTTTGAATTTTTCAGTTTTTGGATATAAAAGAAAAGAAAGCAAGTCTGAGACTTCGGATGTTACGATGATGTTAGTTGTGAATGCTCAGGATTAAGAAGTTGTCTGATTTAGACAATCATGCATGCGCAGAGAGTCAGCTAAACTTACCTAATAATGATTGATCACTCGAAGGAAATGGGCCGCGAATCGGTTATTTTAGCCTAACTGAACTGGCTGTTTTAGAAGGCTAGAAAGTTAGATAAATGTGAGTCTGCCGATGAGTGTAAAGCTACGATATTCAACTGACAGATTTACTACGCATTGACTTCGCTGTTCCATTTGTTGGTCCCTCAAGGTTCTATGCACGGATGGTTTTTGTCGTTGATAATTTTTAAAATGTAGTTTTGATAATCGTGTGAGGCCTTAACGCTTGCAAGAGATCAAGCCCTTTGACGACTTCGTAAGAGACTGATGTGAGAGGAAACTTGAACCTATTTAGCGCCGAGTTGAAGCAAAGGAAACCAAAAGCTTGCGTGGCTTGCTCTTTTTTCTCGAAAAAAAAATCGATTTTTTTAGCATTCCTACGCATCTTGCTTTTAAGTTACATAATGAACAACAGCTTTAAGACATTCATAGATTCCCGAAACGTTTTAATAAACCACTGCCCAAGTTTGCCTAGCGTTCTGAACAGAAACTCACTACTTATAACGCTCGTCAAACCAAAACTGATCGTCTAAATTGAAGATTTATAATAATAATATTAATTTAAAGGAAGTTCAATTTGGCATTATTGTGTAACGGCGGATAAAAGATCGTTTCGCTTGATTCGAGGTTCTCAGTTTTTAGCCGTTCTTTCGTTTGGTTGTAGACAAGTCTCAGAATTTCAGAGCAGTCAGAAATCGAAAGTTCGTGAGAGGAAGCATGTATCTATCCATGCTGTGCAAGATGCAGTTTGTGTATTTTAGAATATGAAACGAGATTTAGCGTGAACTTACCCGTTCGTTCAACCTTTCAAATGTGAATTTTTAGTCTCCGTTCGACACACTGTTGGGAAAATAAGCAGGATAGCATCCTTTGGAAATTTCCCAAGTCAAACGTCATGCATGCGTTATCCTGCAGTGTTTCAACCTTTTCAAATACTAACATATTTCACTTTCTAGAGTTGAATTTGTTCCAACTGACCTCCCCCACGGGAAAGTACCCAAACTATTAAATGGTTCCTAACCTGTTTTGTGACATCATTGCCGAATCACTTTCCTTGGGTTCCATGCCTTGATGGTTTTCCAGTTTCTAAAGGAAACGATCGCTTTTATGATTCACTTAACGGGAATGAAACAAATACTTGGTGCAGTAAAATTAAATCACAAGAGGTATACAGAGCTATTAATATGTTGAACTTAAGCGGAATTTCATTTACAAAGCCAATACTTTCTCTTCAATAATTCCGTTTTCTACGTCATCAGTTAGTTCCTCTTGACTGCGATATTACCATACCCGGTCCTAAACTGGAAAACAGGAAGACGGAGAACACGTGAGACTAAACACCCTAGTAAAGATCAAGGAAGTATTGATCGTGATAAAAATCTGAACTTTCATGACAGTCATTCTATCATGCAAGTATTTGCCAGTGGAGAATTAGGTGTTCAAGCATGTAGCAGTGCAGTTTTGATTTTAAAGACAAAGGAATTTCAAGGGAACTGGCATAAATTTTTTGACAGGATAATCATCTGAAATGATCGCCGACTTTGTCACTGGTCTGTTCGATATGTTACTATTTTAATATGTACTCATTTTATATGAGAACAAAGGTTACCACAAACACGCAAAATATTAATTTAGACGACCTGAAAACAAGGCAATATCTCTGTTAGTCTTTTAACATCCTTTGGATGCAAAGGGTTAAAATTTTTCGATCAAAAAGAGAAAAGGATTATCTGCCTGCAAAAAACAAACAACTTCGAAACAAAGAAAAATAATTCGCTCCGTCCTGCTATAAATAGCCCATTAGTGCTACACAAACATATGCTCTAGTAAAATGACAAGTGTGACACTAATGGGCATCAACAGATCACTAGCAAGTTTGTCTAGTTTGTAACCTTGAAATATTGAAATATATGATGCAGTTTTCTTTTGGCTTCACGTAAGTATTTGACTATTAAGGTTGAAATGAACTGAAATCTTTTTTCGGCTTAAGTCGACTTTGAGCTGTG